AATTAAATATTTATTATTTCTAAAGATATAACAGAGGTAAATTTACATTTACAATAATTTCAGTCAAAAATGTTGTTTTGTGTAAAGAATTTATATATATATATATTGGCAGTCAGCAGGGTTTAAGAACATCCGTTGTTCAACCTGTTAGTCAAATGCATTTTGTTTATATATACTTTTTCACTTTTTTGGTCGTTTGGAAAAATGTTGTTTGTGCTGTATTTAGACCCCTCTACCAAGAAATTTGTTTTGCATGCACATGTATAAAACGTTGGCAATTTTTATGGATCTTAATATTAATTTAATACCAAACAGAAAACAATAAACTTGTGGAAAAGATGGTTTACATATATATATAAGGGGTATATATATATACATAAAATTGCCTATCAATGTAATTTAAACACACTATTTAGGATGTAAATATGAAAATGTTCAAAATATTTACAATGCGATAAAAAATAAAAGCAAGATGCAGGTAAGAAACTTTTGCAGATCATTGTACATTGAACTTTGCTGCTTAATAAATAAATTCAAAATTTGGATGTAGTTTAATAAGATTATTTATTCAGTTACGAAATCTGTTGTTGAAGTACTGGCAAGTTTGCAATGTCCATTGGTCAATTTTACAGAGATATGAAGGACGATGCTACATAATAAATCTTTCTTTATCTTTCCTGTATCTTTTCTGGTCTTTTTCATTTGCAGTGTTTTTCATCACACGAACGACATTCTCAAGAAATACTCAGATCAGACTCTTCAGCCCCACCAGCAAGTTCATATGGTCTGTGAAACCTGCTGGTGTGGGCTGAAGTGTTTTTGTTTGTCTGGGCAGTTTGTGATCACATCAACAAAGTTACATTTTTTGTCGAAATAAGGCTTTTGACCCAGATATACTTCATGGTTCACTAGACATTGAAATGTGATAGTGGAAGCAGGCATGGTGTCTTATGGACACATATTCTTGTTTTAATTTTTTTGGTTTTTTAATTTCAAAATCAACAAACCAAAGAGCTTATTTTTATGAGAAATCGACTAACTTAAACGATCTTATTCGTTTTTTTCAACATATTAAGCCCTAGTTTTGTTGACCTAGATTTGTAAAGCCAGCAGTCTCAGTCTTATTTCAAGCTCTCCAACAGGTATAAGACCTCATTATCATGCTGTTGAAAGCACCTGCTAAACATATCTACATTTACAGTTTTAATCTTATATTCATAATACAGCTGCATGATAACAATGATTGAAAAACCTCTCTATTAGATAATGGATATTTATTTTCAAAAATTAGGTCCCAAGGGAGGCATTAGAACATAATAAATATGATCCTTGACAACACATACCATTCATATAATTTAAAATCAATCTACATTTTAGAATTTCTGATATTCATATACTCTTAATTTTGATAATTTGCTGTTCATATTAAAATTTTCAAACATTTGATATTTTTGGTATAATTTGAAGAATAAGTGTCTTCAATTTTTATCCTTATTACTTTTTTATTTGACCTGCTTGTGATGACATGTTGACAGGCACAATGCCTATTTAGATTATTTAATTCAAAGTATTTACTTTCTCCCTCACATTCAATGCTTGTGGAAGGTTAACTGGGAATCAAAGATTTATTTTCTAGCATTTTTATTTTACATCCCAAGTACAATTTGTTGACTCCAAAAATTTTAGAAAAAATTTATACCCCTCTCAGGTAACATTTTCTGTATTTTTCTATAATCCATAATTCAATATCAAATTTACTCAACCTCTAAATACATGTACTGTCATAATTTCAAATTGATTCAAAAATTCCTGTAACAGATTAATTCTTTTGCAAGAAGAAACCCTATGCTCCTTCTTTTTAACACTACACAAGCTTTTCTTATAACAGGCATATCCTGAAATATCATATATGATTTCTAAATAGAATAACATTGGCCTACCTCTACTTTTTTTACATCAGAATCCATTAAGAAAAATAAGGACTTCAAACAAATCAAAACATTTCAAAGACTGTTTTTTCATTGAGTTTCTTCTGGTATGTTTTAATTTCTTTCTCATGAAATTTATTAGAATTATCGGAGTCCCATATAAAATCATAAATAAAAAGAGTCCACTTGATAATATGTATCTTGACAAAATATTTCAGTTAATAAAACTTTCATTGTCATGATTGTGGTGGGGCTGAATAAATATTGCTTCCATAAGATTTATATACTTGTCAAGGTAAACATGTAAACTAAAAAAAAATCAGTTTTATTAAATGTTCAGATGTACAATGAACATGGGTTGATGGGTTACTTTGAATACAACAGGTTTTTACCAATCACCAAAAAGGGGTCTCCTTAACCTTTTATGGATATCACATCCCAAATGTGAAATGAGTATAGTGTGAAGGACACAGACACTTGTGGCGTTGAATAAATGTCCCTTTATAATATAGTTCCAAATGAAAGAAATTTTCTGGAATATATTTCCAAGTGAAGAATTACAAATTTTGTTCCTGACAGAATAATTTGAAAAAGGAATAAAACATTTATTTTCAGGAATAGATATAATAACATTGTTTATAACAAAATTGCCAGAGGAACATCGATACTTTGGGCAAGGACCCTACTTGCAATAATTTGTCAATTATAAGAGGTATTAAATAAAAATTCGTAAGGGTTCCGCGGAACCCAGTGTCTCGCCTACTTTTTCTGTTAATCGCAGGCTCAACAAAAATGAGGAAGTTAATCAATAAAAATATTCCTCTTGATACTATCTTTTGATTGTAAGAAGCTTCTGTCCAAGTTTGGTAAAAATCCAGGATAGTTTATGAATCTAATAAATGTTTAAAAACTTTAACTGCAGACTAAATGTAATGTTAACTGGAAGAAAACAAAATTTCCTTCTAGATACTAGCATTTGATCATAAACAAGTTTCTGTCCAAGTTTGGTACAAATCCAAAATAGTATAAGAAAGTTATTAAAATTTTAAAAACTTTAACCACAGAGTGAATGTGTTGTTTCCTGGCAGAAAATCCAAGTCCACTTAAAAGTAAAATACAGAAAAAATGGATTTATTTTTTTACAAAATTTCCTTCTAGATACTAGCTTTTGATCATAAACAAGCTTCTGTCCAAGTTTGGTACAAATCCAAAATAGTATAAGAAAGTTATTAAAATTTTAAAAACTTTAACCACAGAGTGAATGTGTTGTTTCCTGGCAGAAAATCTAAGTCCATTTAAAAATAAAATTAGGAAAAAATGGATTTTTTTTTTACAAAGTTTACTTCTGGATACTATCTTATGATCATAAACAAGCTTCTGTCCAAGTTTGATACAAACCCAGGATAGTTTAAGAACGTTATTAAAATTTTAAAAACTTTAACCACAGAGTGAATGTAATATTTCCCGGCAGAAAAACTAAGTCCATTTATAAGTAAAATACGGAAAAAATGGAATTTTATTTTTACAAATTTACTTCTAGATACTATCTTATGATCATAAACAAGCTTCTGTCCAAGTTTGGTAGAAATCCAGGATAGTTTAAGAAAGTTATTAAAATTTCAAAAACTTTAACCACAGAGTGAATATTTGTGGACGCCGCCGACGACGACGCCGACGGAATGTAGGATCGCTATGTCTCGCTTTTTCGACTAAAGTCGAAGGCTCGACAAAAATGGATTTTTTTTTTTACAAAATTTACTTTTGGATACTCTTATGATCATAAACAAGCCTCTGTCCATGTTTGGTAGAAACCCAGGTTAGTTTAAGAAAGTTATTAAAATTTTAAAAACTTTAACCACAGAGTGAATGTAATATTTCCCGGCAGAAAAACTAAGTCCATTTATAAGTAAAATATGGAAAAAATGGAATTTTATTTTTACAAAATTTACTTCTGGATATTATCTTATGATCATAAACAAGCTTCTGTCCAAGTTTGGTAGAAATCCAGGATAGTTTAAGAAAGTTATTAAAATTTCAAAAACTTTAACCACAGAGTGAATATTTGTGGACGCCGCCGACGACGCCGACGGAATGTAGGATCGCTATGTCTCGCTTTTTCGACTAAAGTCGAAGGCTCGACAAAAATAGAAATACAATATCAAAATAGATTACTTTGTATAGAGTTTTAGATATATATATGATCATATATGCATTTACATTATTTACATTTAATTAATAATGATGCTACATAGAAGTGAGCTCACACACCTGTCCAGTAAAGGGTCCAGAATAACGAACAATAGGTCATAGTATATTATATATCTTTATTATTACAAATTACTTATTTCATTTACTTTAATATTAGATGTTAATCAATTAAATCAAAACTAATCAGTGATAATTTGTTTAACCTTTTTTATCTACTAATATATTATTATGTTTGAAAAATTAAATTGTAATTATTCTGCTCATTTTAGGTGCTGTGACTGGCAAATAAAGTATAAATTTGTTTGTTTGTTTTGTTTGTTTTGTTATTTTTGTTGCATTGTCATGTGTTTTGGGGTCATCATCAGGGTTTGTCAGTGACTAAAGGGACATTCAGAATTTGTAAGTCAAAGAGAGATATCAAGAGAGTCTACTGTCAGTCTCCCTTTGACTTACAAATTTGAATGTCCCTTTGGTATCTTCCACTTCTTTTAAATTGTACGATCGTTTGAACAAGAAAAAGAACTCATTTGATAAATTAGTTGAAATATTATTATTATTATTATTATTATTATTATTATTATTATTATTATATTATTATTATTAATATTAGTATTATTATTATTAAATTATACTATTATTTGGGATTTCGAAAGGGGGGATTAACAGTGCAATTTAAAACAAAAATCCAACAACTTTGGTTTGCAATTTCTAGAAATCCCTAATTAACAGATTAATAGTTAAATTATCATATACCTCTGTATTTGTAATTGAGTTGTGATTTACCTCAAAAACTTCAACTATCAAGGATGCTGGTATGGCGTTGAGATGTGTATTAAAGAAAACATATTTGTGAAATGTTCTTACCATGTCTTTTAATGTTGCTTCATCTTTCCCTCTAAACGCATCACGCTTCCTTAGTTCCATTTCCAAAGTGAAAGTAACGTGCTACCTAAACACAGGTGTGGTGATCCCGGCTGCTTTCGGTGTGTTCGATACACCCCACAGACAAGAAAACACTAAATTACGGGAAAACGCCTCCGGTCGTATTATACAACAGGTATGCAATAAAAACGTTCATTGGATATAATTGTCGGCTACTTGAAGTACACGGTATTGTACACCTTTTTCATTTCCTCGGATTAATCAATATGACAATTGTTTAATTATAAAAAGGCAATCAAAAGGCTGTACGAAAAAGATAGTTCGTCTACGGAATCACATGGTCACTCATAACTGTTACGTGTTTTATCATAAACAAATCTATTGATCTATCATATATTTATCAATGAATGGAATTCTTTAGCTCTATGGTATCATAAACTCTGAGACTTGTTAAACATAGACTCTATTATGAATATTTAATTCAGTGTCAATATATTTTTAATTGATCCAATTATTGAAGCAGATCGTTTCTTTATAGTATTAATGCAAAATAGCTTTGTGGTATAATAAGCTTATATCATTATTACCAATGCAGTGCTGACCATTTAGTGTACGGATACTGACTGGTTATATATGAACAAAAAAACGTTATTATAAATTAAATCTAAACTGCAGATTTTAATGGGGTCAGCCAATCAAAGGTGCTCAGTTGTATCTGAAAAAAAAATCAAATATACCTTTATATAATATGTATATATGGAAAAAAAAATTGAAACAAGTGCCTGTGATTGCTACCAGAGTCATATATACTACACTATACATGTCTCTGTAAGTCTGTTGCTACATGCACAAAAGAATTGTATACCCTGAAACTAGTAATTCAAGTAAACCCTCTGCATCCTTTTTCGTCAAAAGCTTCATGTGATATTTTGTTCTCCATCGTCATTTCTGTGTCCTTTCATTTAGGGAGCTACTATTTGATTTTTATGGGGGGGGGAGGGGGGGGGCTAGGTTGAAATTTGACAAAAGACAGGACAGGAGTTTTGAGTAAAAAAAGGCAGGATGAGCAACTTGGCAAAAAAAAGGCAGGATGACAATTTATGTAAAAAAAAGTCAGGATAAGCTAAAAAAAAAAAAAAAAGGGCAGGACCGAATAGAGTGAAAAATAAAAAGACAGGACAGAGATTACAAATAAAAAAAATGCAGGACAACATTTTTCATCCTATATATATTTACTATATAAATGAGGCGAGTAACTTTTAAAAGGCATACACTCCTTTTCACTGTAAGGAAAAAATCAAATTCCAAGAATCCGATGACATAGGATTTTTGTAACATAAAACAAAACGAATTACTGACACAATGTCTCTTAAAGACACGTTTTTTTCCCTCCTTTTTACATACTAGATAAAGATGGTGATTCTCTCGTAGGAGGTAATTAGGCGTTACACAGGTACCACAAGAGATCACAAGAATATGGACGTTTCAGTTCAATTGTCTGAAAGAGAGAGAAAATAGCTTAAATCGTTATTGTATAACGGAGAAGAATCGATGGAAAAAGAAGAGGATAAACAGAATGAGGAAGTTTTATAGAACGGTCTTCAAATGAAACTGGACCATGACTTTGCCATACCATTTAGACCGTCTGAATTATTTGTTGGACCAAATTCAATATATGAACTTCAAAATCGGGACGGAGGTAGCGACGAAGGTCACAAAGGAGACAGTCATAAACCCGAAGATCATCAAAAAGATTGTTCAATGTATATATTAAAACAGACAGAAGGAAATGTCGCTAGTCCTTACAATTTATTGTCAAAAATTAAAAGTCGCTTTGATAGATTTAGATCAAGCACAAGTCAACCAAACATGCAAACCAACCCTGCCACGATCACCGGAGCACCGATTGCACAAACAGGGTCTGGATACTCCATTCAAAAGCGTCCAAAAAGTGACACAAACAAAAAAATAGACTCGTCTTTTAAGAGTCTAAAACAAAAAAGGTACCGAGAAGTTTGTCATTTATTTTACAAGTCGTATACGTTCATCGGGCTGTTTTTCTGTTAATTGTTTCCTTATTTGACATATTTTGTTTATGAAAATAAGAGGGTATGGTTTGAATGTTAATGAGAAAACTACCCAGTAAATGGATGAATAAAAGGCTCCTTGATGACAAAATGTAAACAATTCAAAAGAGAAAGCCAACGACTCATTTAAAAAAATATTGATAATGATGTAATACATTTTCATGAGCACTCGCATCCCATTTCCCCCCAACTTAACCTTGGACATTGATGAAACGTGTCACAACTTCAGGACAAATAAATATTGTACAAGAGGGCAAACATATGATATTCTTCGTTTAAGTATTCATTAATTGTTGTTAAGCTATTCTTTTTGTCCGTTATTCTCGATCTTGTGTATTTTTACTACGCACCTTATACTATTCTATATTATTTTTGTTTTTCATCTGTGATTATTTTCTATTCTGCTGTGGTGGACAGGAGCCTAGTCTCTGATTTCGAATCCCCTATCCCTGCTCCCGATCCCCGCGCCCGGCTCCCCTTTATTACTAGACGCGGCAAATCGGTCAAAGAAACTTTTCCAATATTTTCCTATTGTTTACTTCCCTCTTACTTCCCCGCCCCCCTCTTCCCCGGTCCCCGCTTACCTCTCCCCGACACCCGATTCCCTAATCCTGACTCCTGCTTCACGCCCCCTCAGTACCAGGTCCCCGTACTCCCTGTACAACCCATCTTTTCTGTAAATGATCCAATCTTATGATCTCTTCTTAAGTTTATGCCTGTCTTGTAAAGTGTTTAGATATTCATATTTATGTGTATTTGCTTGAGGTGTCCTTTAAACACCTGGCCTAGGTGACTCCTGTATATGGACAACAATACTATTTGTTCATATACATCAGCCACGAGGAAGATAATAGCTATTTTTTAAATGGATGTGATGCTTCTGCCTTCTGGTGCATGGTCAATAAACACTATATAAACATTATGGTTTATATGAATTGGTGCATCTTGCAGTCGGGTCATCTTACAATATGTATCAACCCCTTCTGCATCAGACACGCACGAGGATGACATACCAGGTTTGTGGATCTGCTCATAATATCATAACCAAATTATCTATTTTACAAACATGTACATTGTCGTGACGTCAGCCTATTCATTTACCGTGGATTCTTTATCTAGAATCAACGCTTCCTAATCTGTCGCTTAAATGGACTCACCAAATTATATTCAATTGTTTCTTTTGTGTGCCTCATTTCATTAAATTTGAATTGGCCAATATACTGATTTCTGGAATTAATTTAAAAACTTACCTTTAATTTTTGTAACTTTTAAATGGCTTCACTGGGAATCAAACTCCTCCTTGAAATCTGTTGTGTGTGTCTGACATCAACACACCGACGAAACCTCCGGGCTCATGGTTTCTTTTTCAAGAAGCAACGCTTATTCATTGGATCTATACTACTGAGTCCATCTCCCACCTTGCCATGCAGCACCGTCCCTTGGTAGCTTTTGCAGTTAAGTTAAATAACCAATACATTACAAATTTATTTTAGGAACTTTTTCATGTTTGGGTGTACCTGAGAAGGAGGGAATTTATATATTTATGTATATGTGTGTAGTTCATGATGTTCAAACTGAATTTTCTTTTCTTTGTATGTATACTAGGCTATTGTTGTTTCTTTGCTATTGTCTTATTAATGTCTTATATTGTACTATGCTCCTTCTGAGCCCATTTAATGAAAATAAAACATCTTCTTCATCTTCTTCCAGGGTAAGACGGGGTATGTTCTATATATTATTAACTCAATTTATATTTCATGTTTTTAGTTGTTTTTCTTGTGTAATGTCTAGATATTGCAATTGCAATTGTTTAATATAAAAATCACTATACTGATTATGCCCATAATGGGTCCTCTATTGGAAATAAAAAAAATTATCTTTATTTATCTATCTATAGATCTCTGATTTGTTATCCACATATGATCATTATGGCATATATATGTGACATTAATGCTTTATGTATTATTTTGCATTTGTCGTACTTTATTTTCATTACTGTGACAGCACCCACCTTCACGCCGGTCTCTGTTAGTGGCTAACTGACAACTTGATAGAGAAGATAGGATCACCCGACTCCCCTTTTTCTTTAATTAAGCTCTGGATTTATTAATTCCACTTCAGCCTATGACATATTTTGGTGAATAATAGTAAAACCGTCAAACTGTCATTGGTAAATGTTCATGAAAACAAATAAGGTTTGGCGGACAATATGCGACAAGCTACTATGTTGAGAACAGAGTATCCTCCCCTGTAAATGCGTAGTTTTGTTTTTTGTCTATAATTATTTTTTTCTTCATACGAATTCTATTTAATGTCTAAGATTGATTTAATATAACATTCCTAATGCAAAATAGCAATGGTTTTGTCTGTGTCAAAGTTTTATCTGATTGTTTGCTCTTATTATAAACAGAATTGAACATTTTATTTGAAATTGATTTATTATATAAATACATTGCCAAACGCTGTCTTTTTCATACATGTATTAAGTTTTGGGAAACTCTTCTTGCTATATGGCAAGAATAAGCTAAAAATTATAATAGAATCACAAGAAGAAAGAACGTCTCAAACAATACGGCAATAATTCCTACAGAAAGAAATTTAAGTGAGTAGAAAGGACATTAGTCCACACAAGCATACATAATATAAACGCTAAAGATTGTAAATGCATTGATTTGTTACAAGTCTCACTTCTAACGTTTAAATGCCGTGTTGGGCCGTTTTTCAAAATCCTAGTTCCGAAACTGTAATGGACGCGTTGTCATGAAAATCGCAGAATGAGATTAAATGTTTAGGTCACAGTATTAACATTGATTAAACATGATTTTCCTGCAGAAATAACGTCAACTATTTTATCAGAAAAGTTAATTCTTAATTAAGTTTTATGTAAAGACAAGAAAACTTATTAACACTGAAACGCGATAAACATTTAGTGTGGCCCTTATACAGTGACATTTTGATTATTCCTGTTCCCATTGGTATGCTGGTTTTTCTGAAACTTTGAAACTAGACGCAGAAGATCGGTCAAATAAACTTTTCCAATATTTCTATTGTTTACTTCCCTCTTACTTTCCCCTCTCTTCCCTGGTCCATGCTTACCTCTCCCCGACACCCGCTTCCCTCATCCTGACTCTTGCTTCTCGCCTCCTCAGTCCATGGTCCCCGTGCTCCATGTAAAACACCTCTTTTCTGTAAATGATCCAAACTTATTAAAATAATAATGTGCATAAGCCACGAGGAGGACTATATAATAATCCTTT